TTTCTCCCGCCCCCCCCCCCCCCCCCCCCCCCTCCTTTTTATTCCATTTCTGGTTCCTTTCCTTTCGATTTTCCTTCAATTAATTACCCAAACTGAAGGAAATTGAAGTATGCAATATGGATGTCATAGCGGGTACAGAAGAGTTTCAAGACTGGGAGCTTCTCCAACCCAACTCGGATCTTCACAACTCGCCCGATTCAGTTAGCTCAGTCGAAGAAATCGGCTTAATCCAGCAAAACTATTTCTCCTTGGACCCTCAGAACCAATACGTGGATGAATCGGATGATAAAAGTTCAGGCGAGTCGAATAATCCGAGTTGGATTGAACCCGGGTCAGAGGAAAACCCTAGTCGGTTCCTAAATAAAGATCCCGGCGAGTTCTGGACGGATTCGAGCAGCGACCGGTCTAATGAACGTAACGAACGTAACGTTGTTGATTTGTTGGGCACAATTGAAATGGGTCTTTCTGAAAACGAGAAAAAACAGGTGGACTTTGAAGCAAGTGATAAAATTGTGGAGATAGAAGAAAAATATTCCGAGAATTTGGAGAAGTTCTATTCGGATTCTAGTGATATTGTAGTGGATCCAATGAAATTTAATGACTTGGGGGAGAATTCCGAAGTGGGTACTGAAGAAAACCTGGATTCTCAAGGTAGATCGAATGTTTCACTTGAAGAAAAGCATGAAAATGAGAATATTGAAAACGGTAGTGAAAGAATCAATGAAACTGGAGATAACATAAATGGTGAGATTGGAAAAAAGAGTATTGTGTGGTGGAAGATGCCAATAGAGATTTTGAAATACTATGTGTCTAGAGTCAGTCCAGTTTGGGCTGTTTCCGTGGCAGCTGCAGTGATGGGGTTCATGATTTTAGGACGCAGTTTGTATAAGATGAAGAAGAAGAACAGGGGATTGGAGATTAAGGTTACCATGGATGATAAGGTCAGTGCCCTTTTTTGGTGGATAGCCTTAAGTTTCATCTTCCTGTTTAGATGCTATTACGGTTTGATTTCCAAATATTGTTGTGAACAGGTTGTGTGCAATTTTTTGTGTTTATATAGTGGATTAGATTAAAAATATATTTCCTGCAGAATTGTTTATTTAGCCAGCCTTTAACTTAAAGATGGTCTTTCTGAGGAAGCTTTAGAAGATTTGGACGAGTTGATAATGGCAGGAGTCAAAATATAGATTGTTTTAATTCGTTGTTGCCCACATCCTGATATTAATCAGTTTATACATTATTTGTGATTTCTATGCGAAAGTGTAGTCCAACTATCATTTCCCTCTTTCCATGCTGGAGGGCATGTTGAATGACGCTACAATTTAATATATTATCATTATGGCACAAGCCAAACATTCTTGGTCTTTGATCACATCTCTATGAACAGTTGATTGATAGTTGATAGATGGTATCCTGACTAAAACAAAATGCAGTTAATTGCCAGTGAAATGCTGTCTACTCTGAAAGTTTACTGTGTTGTTCTCATGGTAAAGGATCATGGGAATTTATTGTGAAGAAAATATAAATTTTGTTTAGCTTGATTAATGATCTATTAGGCTCGTATATTTCATTCTGAGAGTATCACCTTGTGGTTTTCCAGAATTTGATTGTCAGTCGAGGAAATTGATTTTGTGAATAGTGAGGACATTTTTATTTATACTGTAAACATCACTTATCTGGAATGGTTAGTTATTGTAAGTTTGACCCTTTAGAACAATCTTAAATTTTGTTGGAGTTCATAACTGTCAACAAGGCAGGGGATTCTGACGATCAAAGCCTCCTGAAAACTTAGTCCAAAGACACAAGGGAAAGTTTTTGAGGTACATGCATCATTGTAGCACTGTGTCTTATGCATAGGAAGACTTCTGCCATGTGTAAGAGCCTATAAAAGCTAGAATAATGCCCCTTCTCATTTTTGGATATTTGGCACTTTTGGTTTGTTTTGTTTTTTCCTTCCCCCAAACCTGGACATGCTGCACAAAAATCATGAATGATTTCCTCATCTAACTTTGAAAGGATCTTGTTTGACTTGCATTTTACTCATGAACAACTGCTAAACAAACAAGAATGAACTTTTCCTGAAATATTATTTTTCGTGTTCAATTTGTTCTTTTTCTTACAGTTCTTTGTGCTTGATTTTGTAATTAAATATAGAAGAAGTTGATATCTCAGCCATGGCTGGAGCAGTTTTACCGCTAAGTTTTATTATAAGTGTGAAATGTGCTTGCTATTAAAAATAGTGTACTGCTGGATCGTCCCAGGTTAGTATTGTATTGTAATGAATTGAGGACAGATGTTTGTTTCTATTTTGTCTAAATTGATGGACTTGGGTGGTGGGTGGGACTATGTTTATTTCCTAACTATAGTTTCATGGTAGATGATTGAACTAGGCTGTAATTATTTTGTGGGTAAGGAGTGACTTGTAGCAGCAGCTGAGGGTTCTTAACTGATTGCTTTCTGTTTTGGGATGGAGTGATTTGGAAACTGAAGTGATACTTATTGGTACTATTTTTTCAGTTTTCTGCATCTTCTTTGGCACATATTAATCATTGATCTTATAAATATGTTTGTGCTCTCTACTTGCTTTCTTCATGTTTGTGTCTTTCTTCTTTTTATTTTTTATTTTTTATTTTTTTATTGCAATCTTATTCGTTCACCGGAATTTTTGATAATTGGATTTCGAAATGTTATTTTTTGCTTTAAACAATGACTTGTGTCAAGTTGATACTTGTTTATCCATAATTTGATTAGACCTCAAGTCTTAGGATGATGCTCTGTGTTCAAGTTACATCATATTTAATATTAGCTTGGAAAAATATATAAATCACATTACAAAGTAATTTTCCTGTGAAACCATTAATTGCAGGTTTTGTTTAGACAATCTATCTGGCAATCCCCATATCTTTTATTGCAACCTTGAATTGGCTTCCTGTTGGTTTTGCTTTTGGAAAATCAGTTGCTTGTCTGGAAAGATTAACATCTACGAACTGTTGTGTGCACTTCTCTGTCTAATTTTACACTGGTTGCTCGAATAATGACTAGATTGATGTCCTTGTGAAAATCTGGATAGACTAGCACCAAGGTCAAACGAGTCATTGTATATGACGAATGTTTTTAATTCATAAGATGTTATTCGTATTTTAGTTTTGACGTCTTTATGAATTTCTTTATACTCTAGTGTGTTCATTTCTTCCTGAATAAAGCACTCGCCCAAATTTTTCTCTCACCTATGTAGGTGTGCTCCTATTATTGTTCATAAATATGTAGCCATACTGTTTCAGTTCATGATGTTGTTGTCTTGCAGAAGGTGTCTCAGTTCATGAGCCGTGCAGCTCGTCTAAATGATGCATTCTCAGTTGTAAAGCGGGTCCCTGTGATTCGGCCTACACTGCCTGCTGTTGGGGTTACACCCTGGCCTGCGATGAGCTTAAGATAAAGCATATTATACTTGTAATTTCGGAAATAGGTTGCTGCATGTTATTATCAAGCCTAAGATGGTGTGTGGTTTTCAAATTTTCATTTGCATATACTGTTTATCAGCTTCTTTGTTCAGTGTACCTTCAAAACTCTGTTTTTAATATGTGGAAACTCTTTTCTATTTTAATCTTTTGTGTTCCTAATATTTATCCTCATTTTGAGTAGGAATTATTAAGCTTCGAATGGTTGCCATGGTCGGGATTTGGGTTGTAATATACTCAACAAGCGAACTTGTTGTAATACAAGTTTAGAAACCCGTATGACAATGTTTGTTATCGATGATTGGATAATACTGAATAATACTAGATTTGCCCTCGTTTAAAGAATTCTATCCTCATTTTGAGTAGGAGTTATTAAGCTTCGAATGGTTGCCATGGTCAGGATTTGGGTTGTAATATACTCAACAAGCGAACTTGTTGGAATACAAGAGAAACCCGTATGACAATGTTTGTTATCGATGATTGGATAATACTGAATAATACTCGATTTGCCCTCATTGCTTGAGAATCAGGACAATGAAATGTTTTATGGTCACTGGACAATCTGTCTTTTCTGTAAGATTCCTAGTGAATATTGTTTTATCTAGCACTAGTCTTGGTGTCACTGTGGTTAATCCCACATTGTCAAGTGACTAAAATGCATCACGATTTAATTGCAAACCACGTAAGAACATTTCCAGGAGATTATTTTTAAAGAATATTTTATTTCTTTGAAGAAGTATGGTGATATTTATATTCAAAATAAATAAATTTTTACTTATGAAAAAACCCCTATTTATTGAAATGTTTGGATATAAAAATATTGCTTAAAAGTATCATTCAAGTATTTTAAAGTATGGCCAAACTCTGATCGAGTCGCATTCTCAATAATTATACATATAACTCAAACGAATCAGGCTTAAAAATAGGGGCGCCATTGGCCTTGTGGCTTTTTTGTAACTCAAAAGGAAATCAAACGTCAGCTCATTAATAAGCCATAAAATTCCAAAACTGGAAAACACAAGTTCAATGGAACCAATTCTTTGATCTTTATGCAACTTTTGTACGAATACATTGAGCTTATGGTAGAAATTATAATTCAAATTTTAATTTAAGTCAAAGTAAATAATTAATTTTAATCACATATTTTATGAGACCCACAATTTTTTAATTACACATTTTTTCAACTTTTATTAAAATTCACTAAAAATAGGAATTTAATTCTCACCAAATAGGGGTTAATTATGTTCTTCTCAAAATAAATAAATAAATAACAATGCCCCACCATCTTAACCTTACCTATCATTGGCAGATGAACCGTGTTACTTTGTACCAATTCTTAAACCTCCATGGTTGACAATGGTGAACCACACAAACAATCGTTCTCAAAAAATGAATTTGTATTCGTTAGCTTCTACGGTCACGCGGAGTAAATTTAATGAATCCTCACCATGCTACGTGGTTCCAATTCTTACACCTCGCTGGGTAACAATGGCGAACCACACAAACAATCATCCTCAAAAAATGAATTTGTACCCGTTAGCTTCTACGCGCATGTCAAGTGTTTCCTATAACGTGATTTATACAGCATGTGTACGATGTCAAGTTTTTGTAATATATGAATGGAGTTAAAAATGTCGAATCCACAATGACTGTAATTCAAATTCTACTAAGTACTATAATTATATGACCTTTATTTTATCTAGACAAATGAGTTATAAAATCAATATTTTTAAACTAATCTAATGATGAATATGGCGATGAATTCAACAAATAAATTCAAAGTTAGAAGAGTAATCAAGATAAGAAAAGCCCAAGATTATGATGTCACTTAACTATCGAATATAATTTTCAAAAACCTAGTTATCTGTAATCAATTTTTCATGTTTATAAACAAGAACCCTAATGTAATAATACCCTCTCTCTCGAGTGTCGGGTAAAAATTGATCCTAGAAATTAATTCCTCCACTCAGGAGTAGGTGACCATGATGCTCCCCTTCGCTCCAAAAAGGCAGAGGGGGAGCCATAATTAGAACCAATTCCATATCTCTATTCCGAATTAAAATTAAGAATTTATCAAGTTCATGATTCTTTTATGGAGTAAACTCCATAAAATCTACAATTTTTCTTGAAACCCATAAAATTTACGTTATGTTAATCTTATGATCGCGCCTAAATTTTCCTATCTCGAATGTCAAAATTAACTAGCATCTACTCATTTAGTTAGTGACCAATTAACTGAAAGCATTAAAAATAATAACACAAATAAATAGGATGGAAAGTTTCATAGAAATAATTAAAATAAATTCAAATCATACTCTCAAGTTTTGGCTAATTAAACCTTAGAAGAATAGTTTAGTTCATGATAAAAGCCATGAAATCTACATAATTTATAAAGAATAACTTTAAGAGAAGAAAGATAAAACTATTTTTTGGATGGTTGAATCAATTTTCTTCGCTAAGTTGCCTTTGCCGCCTTCTTGATTTCTTTAATTTTATCCCATTCTTGCCCGGTTGAATTCTCCTCCAATTGTGGTCTTTAAGTTCATATTTATAGTATTTTGGAAGTTTTGGAAGAGTTAAGGTTGGATTGGGCCAAGAAAAGAGTTCTAAAAATTGAAAATTCTTTTTTCTCACTCGGCGGCACTGTGATGCTGTTGATTTTTAGCATTTGTCTTGGGTGCTCCGGTGCCCACTTTTGGACAAAAAATAACATTGCACATCTTTCAGTATTTTTATCATAACTTCTACTTGCAATATCCAATTGATACGATTCAAGATGCATTGAAAATCTAACTCAAAAAGCTACAACTTTGTTTTAGATATTATCCAATTCGAATATTTTCTAGGTCGAAAATGGGTCTCAATATGAGAATAAAATTCCTGAGCATAACTTTTTCTATTGGAAATTGATATATAATTATACTCTGACTATATTTCATTTCTTTGACTTTTTTTAATCAAATTGACTCCTAGTACTCTCAAATTTTCATTGTGAGGTTCGACATAATCTTTGAGTATTTTCACTTTAGTCCCCAAAACTCTGATTCTCTTATAATTTAGCCAATTTTTCAATTTTGCCAACTTTTGCTTATTTCCTTCAATTTCATCAACATATATTACAACATCAAAACACACATTAAAATACTCTAAAACTCATAGGGATTAGCTAAATATCAAACGTAAACGATGTCTAAAGTATGAATGAAATACACTAATCAAATACCCTCCCCAAACTTAATGCTTTACTAGTCCTTGAGCAAACACTAAACAAAAAACAACTAACTAATTGACACTTAAACAAACAAATTTAAGAAAATAAAACACAAACAATTTAGTTAGATAGTTTGCCTTCAATTATAAACCACATCAAAACTTTAATGCAAAAGCTGAATTCTCAAATACTTAATGCAAAATGGTAAGAGATAAGTGCAACGCAGTACATTATTAAGTTGATTCAATTCCTGACCTTAAAAGTCAAAGTTGATTTTCAATACTAATTTCTTACACAGTTCAAGTTTGGTTAGAGTTTAGTAATTGCAGTTCAACATACAATAAATGGGGATTTTACTTATTTTTACTTCTTCAACCCCCAAGAATCAACCATTATCAAAGGTCTAATCCTTTAAATCGAAAGTTTGGGGGCTTAATCAAGGCATGTGGTGTATCTTTTATTTCATGCACCTGCTTTTCAGATATACATGTTCTTTAATTAATCTTATGTGTGGAACTGTCGGTTGCAATTAAGGGAGAAGGTTGGTGGTTGATTTTGACACACATACATATAAACAACAATTGCGGCTGGGGGATTTTGTCGGAGTTCTTTGGTAAGTAAAGAATAGTTGGGCAGCTTATGTGCTTATTTGGGAGAGAAGAATGGAATAGATACGCATTCATCGTCGGCTGCTAGAGACAATATAAACTACATTGGGCGGCGATTTGGAAAGAAAAAGGCAGAGAATCTGTTGGGAAAATTAAGAGACAAAACCATAAAAAAGGCTGCCAATTGGGTAGAATTATAAAAACAATGGGGCGGCAATTTTGACGGCACACGCTATTGGATTTATTCACGTTCCATCAATTTTTGGTGATATCGTTCTACATTTATGCATTTGATTTCAATATTATGCTAGGCTAATTTCTCTCATGTATTGGATGGAGATAAAATCCGTTATTATTTATTTTTAATTCAAAACAAGTAGCTTAGTTAAATTCTTGCAATTGTTGATTAATCTTGCATGCTCAGTTTTAATATTTGATTGCTTGATCATTAATTAAATATATAGTTTCTCGTTGTAGTGTTGGAAAGGTCACAATTGGTCTAGAACACTAATTGATTAACACATGTGCAATAAATATTAGGAATAATATTTATCACGTGTACAATCATAGAGATAACTGTGAAATTGAATGCATTCTATTCATTTAAATTCAGACTAGGAAAATATTCGAGTCGTTATTAAGATAGATTTAATATCTTGAAAAAGAAAATTAATTACAATAAAATTATCGAGTGTCAAGAATGTATGAAAGAAATTAGGTACGTAGTCAAGAATTGAAATAGATAATAATAGATGGATTCATAATCCAATACAGTCTTTTCATATACTTATTAAAGTCTCATTTTACTCGTTTTCATAGATTAAATTAGAATATTTAAAAATCAAAAATCAATTTTGTTTGATCACTTTGAATCTAATTAAGTACTAGTACACTCAATTAAATTTTATTTCCTATGAGACGATACTCTCAACTTATTAAATTTATTACTTGTCAATGATCCCGTATGCTTGCGGGTTTCACACGAACACTCTTCCAGGGAAAATTGAGATTAAGGTGGTTGGGTCAATACACAGTTACCAATGTACTTCCATATGGGTTTGAGGAGATCAACCATGAAAGCAAGGAGATATTTACAGTTAATAGTCAGTTGTTTAAGCACTATTGGAGTTGTGAATTCTCCAAGGAAAAGTCCACCATTCACCTAAAAACACCATAATAAAGCAAACACGATATAGTCAAGCTATCGACTCTAAACTAGCACTAGTTGAGAGGCAAGCCAATATTTCTACTCTTTTATTTATCCTGCTTTATGCATTAGTTTAGGAATTTTCTATGTTTTTGATCATTTTTGGTAGTTTTAGGTTAT